GTACTTCAGGTAGTCCTTATATACAGGGGTTCAGCTATAGATAGGTGTAGTGTAGGTGTAGGTACTACAGGTAGTCCTTATATACAGGGGTTCAGCTATAGATAGGTGTAGTGTAGGTGTAAGTACTTCAGGTATACCAGAGTTCATCTATAGATAGAGTGTAGGTGTAAGTACTTCAGGTAGTCCTTATATACAGGGGTTCATCTATAGATAGGTGTAGTGTAGGTGTAAGTACTTCAGGTAGTCCTTATATACTGGGGTTCATCTACAGATAGGTGTAGTGTAGGTGTAAGTACTTCAGGTAGTCCCTATATACAAGGGTTCATCTAGAGATGGATGTATAGTGCTGGTGTAAATACTCCAGGTACAGGGTGTCCCACGAAACATGACAGTTGGTGAATAGTTTAGAATGTCTTTTTCCATTATTTGTTCAGTTGTTTGATACCTAAGATCAATAAAAATATTATATGGGAGTCATGTTATATTAAAATTGATTTCAAAGTAAAATATAATTAAGCAAAAGATTTGTTTAACTAAAAATAACTATCTATTAAATGTAATGTTTCGTGGGACATTCTGTAGTCGTGACTTCTGTTTCAGGGGTTCAATTCGCAAAGACGCGATTTTACATAGTTTCTAACAACCCTTTTTAGTAAAGCTTTCGGTTTTTTACTGAACAAACACTGTTACTTAACTAACATATGTGTTTATTATCCATAATTAAAAAATCATATTTAATAGTTAATTTGAGAATTTAAATGACACTTTTATCCATAAATTGACTGTCCTAATGTATATTCCTAAGTATATGACATTTCATTTTTTTTAGTATATGGTGAATTTTACTGGATTCTTGAAAGCAGTAGAGGCCAAAATAAAGTCAACAGGTTTGTATTTCTGACTAAATTCCTTCTAAAGAGGACGGCCTCTTCATCAATATGCCTTAACCAGGAATTGTACACTCATTGGGGGTAGTCCTTTTTCATAAGGACNAGGGCCCCGAAGGAATTTGAAGAAAAAAATGATTGCCCTCGCTTTTGTTATAGTCTGAGATTTATTTTTTATTCAACCCATCCGGATTCAAAATATCGGCAGTAGATGTAATTTTTCAATATTTAAATCTTACTTGGACGTAATTTCAGGCAAATACGAGGAACCTGTAAAAAATGCCGAAATTCAGCGAAATGTTCTAATTCTTGCAGAAATTGAAAAGGTCATTATTATATAAGGTATTTAGATAGCCACAGTTAGATATAAACAAACTCTTTATCATTTTTTAATTGAGTCTGATCATATTTGGTTCTCTAACAGAACATGAAGTATATTTGGTTCTCTAACAGAACATGAAGTATATTTCTTGGTTCTCTTACAGAACATGAAGTATATTTAGTTCTCTAACAGAACATGAAGTATATTTGGTTCTCCAACAGAACATGAAGTATATTTGGTTCTTTAACAGAACATGAAGTATATTTGGTTCTCTAACAGAACATGAAGTATATTTAGTTCTCTTACAGAACATGAAGTATATTTGGTTCTTTAACAGAACCTGAAGTATATTTAGTTCTCTAACAGAACATGAAGTATATTTGGTTCTCTAACAGAACATGAAGTATATTT